AGAATCTACAAAGATTATAGTTAAAAACCTAGCCTTTGAGACGACTAAAAAAGAATTAAGAGAATTGTTCAGGTAAAGTCATAAATATAATTGTCTTAAATAAATTTTACGTATTGGAAAAAGTGTTCAAACATGTTACTTCTAACGAACATGTAGTGCGTACGGTCAAATCAAAACTCTTCGACTACCCAAAAAATTTGATGGAACTTCTCGTGGTTTTGGATTCATAGAATTTCTTACAAAAAGAGATGCCCGAAATGCAATGGAAAAATTGGGAGAAACACACTTATTAGGTAGACATTTGGTTCTTGAGTATGCCGAAGAGGATAAGGATGTTGAAGAATTAAGGGAGAAGGTTGGAAGGGAGTTTATTGGAGAGGTTGAAGGCGGTAACGGGAGGATGCGAAAGAAGAAAAAGGTAGACATTGAAGATTGGACGGAAGTCAATAATGAAACGGATGAATGAATCTAATTTAATTCGAAGCGATTTTCTAAAAAATATTCTTGTCATTGTATTTTTTTCTTATAATAACTTATTGTTTGCAAATTGAAAAAATGCACTTTATTCGAAATCAAGAATACATAATAGGGATTATTAATTTAAATAAAAATTTAAATACAGTAGATTCATTTCTTAATCTGCGTAATAAAAACAATAACTTTTTCACTTTGGCGAGGCTGTAATAAATTGATAAAATGACTAAATATATTGCAAACATACAGTATGTTTTTAACTAAAAAAAATTAATATAAAATGAAATACTTGATTACAAATTACAAAGGCAATATTAAAAATCACTGTTAGTTTAATCATTAACACATTTGATTTTTTTTTATTATAAAAAAAGATAATATGCAAATCTTAGAAAAGAAAATGTAATGATAAGAAAGTCCAAATTATCATTATTTTAATTTTTTTTTATTCCAATGAATCATGCTAATGCAATGTATTTTGCTAAATATTATATATATCTAGTTATTAAAAAGATATTGGTAATATGTGCAAGCTTACCAAGCCTAATATTCTTGTTTACAATACAATTAAAATCTATTGAAATAATTATATATAAAAAAATTTTTTTGGTTATTCAAGAAATAAAATTAAGATTTAATCAATTTCATCAAGTTTTTATATACAATATATTCTTATGATGCAATTTTTAAAAATATAAATAATTCCAAAAAATATATATAAACAAAAATATTAAATATAATCTTTATTTTAATACAATCTTTACAAATCATTTTTACTTTAACAATACTTGTTATATTATATTACTAAAATATTTTTTAATCAAAAAAATTTCAATTATATCATTTAAATAAAAACAATCAAATCTGTTTAATTTATTTTATTAATATAATAATAATAATAATAACAAATTAATCAAGTATTACAATAATTAATATCTATATATTTTATATTTAAGTATCTATATTAATAAAAAATTTAATAAAAATAATAAAAAATAAAAGAATATAACATACTTAATAAAGAAATTTTTTTATCATGGTTATTATTTATAAACTATATAGTTTGAAATTTCAAATATAAATTATCATGTGATTTTTATAATAAATCATATAGTTATATATTTTTTATCATAATAATTATATATATTGTATTATCTTATAGTTTATTTTATTCAATTCTGATAATATATATTCAAAAATTTAATAATAAGATTTATATTTTTTGATAATACAGTGGATTGCCAAAAATTTATGGACACTTTTTAAAACTCAGTAAAAAAGTTTTTTAAATAAAAAAAAAAATTTTTATATGATAGAATATTTACATGTTGACTATATTTAAAATTTTACTTAAATAATCAATATTTCGTTGGTCCTTTCCCAGCTACAATGCAAGCTGTAATGTGATGCAACATATTTTTGATTAATTGCTGACAATTTTTTAGACTTACTGTATCTCATTCCAATACTTTTTAACATGTTGCTTGAGTTCTGTTAAGTTTTGAGATTTAGGTGTAACTTTTTTAAGATGATGTTTCATTATATGCCAGAGATTTTCAATAGGATTAATATCTGGACTTTGTGAAGGCCAATTCATAATCTAACATTTTTTTCAGCAAGAAATCTTTTTGTAATTTTTGCAGTGTGTGTCTTGTATTGTCATATTGAAATCAAGGCTGACCTGTACCAATCCAATTTGATATGGGAAAATCACGAAGAGTTGGCAAAAGATTCTCCTCAAGAGTTTTAATATAGGATTTTCCTAAAAAAAAACAGTAAAAAAAAAAATTCATTCATTTTTTTTTTTCGTTTTCATTTTTTATTTTTTTTTTTGTTTTTTCTTACCTATAACTGACATGTTAAAGGAAACGAGTGGACCAGTACCAAACCACGAGAAACACCCCCAATACATTTAACTTGGGCTATGGCTAATTATAGCAGAAAGACAATTAATGTTCCACTCCTTATGTGAAGTATGCCATACATGATTTTTGCTTTCTTGTTGAAATTGAAAAAATATTGATTCGTCACTCCAGATTACCTTCTTGAAGTTATAAATAGACCAATATTTATGTTCAAGACACCAAGTAAACCTTTCTTCGATATTCTTTTCAGAGACAAGCAATTTAGAACAGGCAACACAAGATTTTAACTTCTCATGATGTAAAGTTTGATGAATCGTCCTTTCAAATACTTTAATTTTTGTTTTTGATGTAAAAAGGTTTGTTAATTCTGCATTGCATAAAAACTGATTTTTTTTATTAATGACAAGTTTTTTAAGAGTGATATAGACACAATTATCAAGGAGTTGTAGTCATCCAGTTTGGGGTTGTGATTCTATAAATCCGATTTTAATAAACTTGTTTATAATGTTACTCACAATTGATTTTTTACATCTGATGTAAGCTGCAATAGTGCAATACGAATCTTTTCTTTGAAAACCATAAATTATAGCTGATTTTTATTTGGGTGTTAGTTCTTTTCTTACACTTATATTAGCAATTACATGAAATTTAGAGAGAAAAATATAAGATAAATAAAAAATTTTTTTTAATTGGAAATATTAAATAAATATGTAATTATATTTTTATAAAAAAATTAATTATAATTATTAA